AAAAAAAAAAAAAAAAAAAAAGAGAGCAAATTATGTTCTTTCAATACGTTTCACAGTGTGTGTTCTTATTTTAGAGTCGACGTATCGTCACCAAGCTACCATTGATGATGAAGTGGTTTCCATGGAGATTCTAGACACAGCTGGTCAGGTGCGTGGGTGCCTGTGCTGCTCCTCAGTTCCTTGGCTGGGGAGGGAGCGTGGTGGTGTCAGCAGWGCATGGGTGGCAGGTGTCACCTGCTCTGGGGACAGGAATTTGCTTCTGGGCACAATGCCCCCCTCTCCTCCCCTGTGCTGGAGCCACACCCTCCTGCWAGGGATCCTGCTGAGGGTTTCTAAATACTGGAAGAACAAACAAATCAAGGGGCTTATGTTGGGGGTAAAATTATTTTGTCACCATGCCTTTGATTCAGGGCCAGCCCAAAACATGGCATTGCTAGGCACAAAGTCATGGTCTATTTCTACAGACAAGTGATGGGGCTTTACAACTTCAGTTAATGATTCCCACTAAATTGAAGAGCATGTTTGTCATAGGCAGGTGACAAACCTTCCTTTCAAAAGATGGCAGGGGGTCGTGCTGCACAGGACCATGCACAGGGTGGAACAGATTTCTGCCATGTGATAAAAAGGGACCTGTGCCAAGTATAAAGTGAAGCAGATGTACACAGCTTTGGAGSACCAGCACCTCTCTGAGGGTCTGCTATCTTCTCCATAAATCAAATTCCTAAGGCTGGTGTGTGTCTTTTCCAACAGGAGGATGCAATTCAGAAAGAAGGACATGTGCGATGGGGTGAGGGCTTCGTGCTGGTTTATGACATCACAGACAGAGGCAGCTTCGAGGAAATGCTGCCGCTTAAGAACTTGCTGGACGAAGTTAAAAAGCCCAAAAACGTCACCCTGATCCTGGTGGGGAACAAAGCAGACTTGGATCACTCCAGGCAAGTCAGCACGGAGGAAGGTGAAAAGCTGGCCACAGAACTYGCGTGTGCGTTTTACGAGTGCTCTGCTTGCACGGGAGAGGGCAACATCATGGAGGCGTTCTACGAGCTCTGCCGGGAGGTGCGGCGCCGCAAGATGGTCCAGGGCAAGACTCGGAGGCGAAGCTCCACCACCCACGTCAAGCAGGCCATTAATAAGATGCTTACCAAAATCAGCAGCTAAAAAGAGCTGCACTAAGCCACAGAAGCGTTTTAGAGCTTGTTAGCTTGGAGTAGGGRTGAGGAAAGCAGAGCGCGTTTAATGAAAAATGGTCAAAGCTTTGCAATGAAAAGAAAAAAAGACAAACACCACYACTTTTTTAGTAACACGGAGTCATGCTATTTTCCTGTTTTGAAATGTATTTAGCCACACTGCTTCTGGCTAATGTAGGGGGGAAAAACCCCAAACACCAAGAAACAARAAAACAAACTACCAAATGAACTCCAAAGGACTAGACAATTTTGGGGATTGGCAACCAAGAGAGAATCTTYTGCTTCTACGTGGCTAGCTCCAATCCCCTGCAAGTCAGTAGTGCCTAAACATCATTTCCAGCCAGACAGCTGCTCAGTAGCCATGGGAGGGTAAGAGTCAACCCTCAGTCCACCAACAACCATCACAACCAGTGTTCTTCAGGACTGAATATGTGTAGAGGCTGCTGTGTTGTATCAGAAAGTTCACCTGACACCTTCACCAGCTCTAAATTAGTTCATTGTGTGCTTTCACTCCAAACTCTCCTTCCTTGTTATTTTTGTCAAATCCATGAGTGTTGATGTTCTTAGCAAGGTAGCAAAAAATATAGGAAAGGTCTATTTCCTGGAGTGTTCAGCCAGCTAGACACACATTTCAGCAGAGCTGAAGTTCAGCCGCTCTTCCAGCTCCTCTGAAATTGCAGAATTCTCAACAAATAATCAGGTAGTCCAGTGGCATTTCAGCATTTCCCCCTCAGAGCACAGTACTGTTCTTGGGGAAATGGGAGTACATGTGTTGCGAGATGAAACTAAAAAATAAAAAACCATGTTACTATTGATTTAGCTATGGGTAGTTTTTAGTTATTGTTTACTTTTTGTTTTGGTCTTTTTTTCAATTCAAGTAGTTCTTTTTGGTCTATCTTATAGCAAAAAGAACTGAATCCTTGGGAAGTCAAGTATTTGAAGTCTAAGCCCAAATGTAAATCAGATCTGAATGGCCTCTTCCATATCAAAAGACCATAATTTCCAGCTGTTTAAACTTCCAGATGTTGCTTGGAGCACACTGGGGTTTAAAGCAGCCCAGGTTTTTTGTGACTTTTATCGGGCACACTGAAGTGAAAGCACATTTTATCAGGTTTCGGTGCCTGGAATAAAAGGTGTCCAGTTTTTTCCTTCTCCATCATCATCTCATTTAAGCCAGCTGCCAAGTTTTGTCTCCTGTCTCGTTGGTTTGTTAGCTGCTAAAAGATGCAAGAACCAACACTGGAAGCTTTTCATTCAGATTGCAGTGCTCTCCCACCAGTGGTGTTGCATCCCTTCAGGCAGCTCAGACTTCCAACATGCAGAACCACAGCCAAGGGTTGGGATGACAAATCAGTGTTCCCCTTTGAGGAACAGCCCCCTTGTAGCAACTGCTTACAGCTTCATTCTCCTCTGCTTTGTGCTTCATCTGGTTATTTGTGTCTCTGAGGAAGTAACTCCAAAAGGCCATCAAATCCAAATTGCCACAGATGTAGGAGAGTGAGTAAATCTGTTAGTTATCAGCAGCCATATAGGTGGTAGCATAGACTGAACACTCCGATCTGTATACCCCAGAAAAAAATTCCAAGTTAGGACTTTTATTAAAAGTATTCACTTGAAGTTATTTTACCAAAGTAATTTTTTTAAACTTTCACCCAACCAGCAAAGAACATCACATTCAGATGTATATTTAATTTGTGCTGTTGTTTGTTTCCTCTGCTTCTCTCTTCCAGACAGCAAAAGCTCATTTCACTCTCGTGGAATCCATGTGTGTATTTTTGTCCTCATGTTCACGTGTTCTGCTGTACATCAGCTGGACACACTGCAGTGGAAGCTTCACCGTGTGCTTCTGGGTAGGGGCTTCTTGCAACAGGCCCCTGTGACACACTTGTTCCCAAACTATTCWTCATATTGTTAACTTTTTATTAAAAAAAAAAAGAAAAAAAAAATCGTGGTTTTTCCATTTTCAGTTCTCTTAGTAATGTAGAATCAATACAAGTGTAAAAGAGCAAGCTAGTGCCTGTTCACAAACCAGAATTCTTTAGCTGGGAGGCTGAACTTGCCAGCAATGGAGTTATATTTGAAGCCAGAGAGCATTTGCAAGTTGAAGCACTAAGGTTCTGTTATCTTTCAAATCAGTGCTGGCGCACGAATCTGAAGTAAACAAAATCCTTACCTGCAATCCCATGGCAACGTAGCTGAGTGGAAAGCTTTTACTTCAGTATGCTAAGAAATTGATTCAACCCTCTTAGAAAACTTCAACAGTTCCTTTATCTGAAAATCTTTCGTGGGGTTCATGTTGGAGCTGCATTTGAAATACAAAAAGGCTATAAATGAATGACAGGAGAAAATAATAAATCATATTCATAGTATAAGAGTTGAAAGGAAGGAGAGGCTAAGTTATGGCCCTCATACTTTCCAAAAGATTTCCAGCAAATTGTATTTTCTTTTATAAAATCTGTGTGGATAAATTGAAATCCTGGTGAAAATAAAAGTTCCACTGTGCAAACATCCCTTGTTACATAAAGAACTTACAATAAAAATAGTAACATTCCTTTGCAAAGACTGAATTTGGAAACTGCCAAACAAGATAAACACTTGGTCAAAAAGGAGGCTGCTATTTTGTGACCTTTCCTCCCACACAAACACAAACTCCTTTGCTTAATTTCTTATTAATTTTTTCCCTCTAAACTGGCTCTACTAGGGTATATTATAATCTGTTGATACTCATTACATAGTATTAAATGCAACTTGATTTACTGTTGCTCACAAACATTGCAACATATTACTGGCTATGTTGCAAATCTGTCCCATTTCTACAATGTGCAAATTGAGCCCCAAATTGCCCAAACATTGAAAAGGCCAAGTGCAGCATGAACCCACGTTCAGCAGCCTTTCTGCAGCAGACATCAACATATTAAATTCAGTTTCTCCTGCTGCTGTTTAAGTGTGTTTATGACACTAGCATTAAATTTCTCTCCTCTGCCCACTACCATTTCTGCAGAGAGAGGATGGGAATGACGATAAACAAAAACAGGGAGGAAAGGTGAAAGGGATACTTGTTACCTGCAACAAGTTGATTGTCATTTATGAAGTTTCTGAATATTTATCTTCAATTGATGAAGAGTTAGTCATGCCCGTGCTGCAAGACCTGGATCAGGATCCAAGACTTCCCTAGAACTTTGACAATCTTCACATCTGGGGGTTTGGTGCAACTACAGATGGAAGTGAGGATCAACCACTGGGTTTGCACCTGGATCCAGACAAGTTGTCCCCAGCCTGGGGATGGTTGGATCTGGCAGTTTGCTACAAGGCTAGTTGATTTTTATATATATAATGATCTGCATGCRTTTTTACATTGAAAATATGAAAGCTTGTGCTTGTAGATAATACATAAGAAAAAAAATAAAAAAGAAAAAGAAAAAATTGCGTTTTCTGTACTGAACTCTCACAGACTGATCTTCCATTAGATGTCTCCAGTGTTCCTTCCAGCTATTAAGGGGCTAGTTCCAAAAGTCCTGATTTGGTTTTTATTTAATCTTTATCTAAGGAAAACAGCGACTTTTACCGGAATAAGYGCTGTAAAATTTGGATCACGTTATTTGAACTTATTTGGCTGTTAGTCCTGGAATGGAGAAGTCAAACAGCATCTACAGTGAGGCACAGGTCCAAATGTCCTTGCTAACTATTTCAAGGCTGATGAAAAAAGTTACAGGGTTRTTAAGTGACCTCAGTGAAACCACCACCCAGACGCTGTCCCGCTGACTGAATAATATGGATCTTGATCCTGAGTTTCTGAGGTGAAATTCTTTGCTCAGCAGTCTGGGAGATTTATGCTGGTAGCTTGGACAGAGACAAYTTTTCACCTGCTGCCAACTGTGCCCATGTTGCAAGGACAATGCACTATTAATCTGAAGAGAAGGTACATTATCTACACCTTATAYGGATGGTAAACCATCATACATAGTGTGGGTATTAAGCAAAGGAAGCTTTAGCACTGAAGAGGAGAATTGTAATCCACTCTTTTCCCCAAAAAAGTGACCCAAAGCATRGTGAACAGTAGTGGGATTATGAGAATGTAATGTCTGGCAGAGCACTGCATAAAATCTGGGTGCAGAATCCATGCTGAGTGGTGAAACCTCGTAACACCAGTCCCTGTCTGCCTCTGCAGTGCTGCAGAGCAGCCTCGAGTTCTCTCAAACCACACTGTAAGTTGCTCCAGTCAAAATAATGTCTCCTGCAAATTAAGTAGCTGCAGTCATAAAGGCTATGTATAAACAGTGCCCAGGGTTCCTTTTATCTTTCTCTTTAACAGCTCAATACATATGCATATCTTAAGAAGAAAAGGAAAAAGGGGCTTTAATTAAAAGAGGCTTCTTGGCATTTTGATGTGTCTGCCTTTATGTTCTTTGAAAAATTAAACATGTAATGAAGACAGTGTCATCTGAGAAACTCTGGTGTTACACATTTTATTTCCGCTACAGAGCCAGGCACTAATTACCACGGGCTATGAAAGTACAAAGCAGCGGCYGTCGGGAGCTGTGCAGGGTTTCCAGGGGGTGATAATGATGGTTTGTGTGAGGCCAGCTCTGCCCGCTTTCTGTAAACACAGGTGCCCCTGGGGAAGGCTSTTAGTGCAGTTTGCAGCAGGGAGAGATGTCCCAAATACCTGGGGCAGGGTTCTGCTCTCCAGCGGGGCTTTGCACTGGGTGGGTGAAGCCCTGGCAGCCAAAAATACTCCAGTAGCCAATGTCTCTCATCCACTTGAAGGATTCTTCTCCATTTTTCGTTTGGAGTAGACTGTCAGTGAACTGTGAGGTAAGTCCATGCTGCTGGCTGGTTAATAAACTCAAGAATTTGATGGGAGTTTTGCCTTCTGTCTTTTTGGACTGGTCTCTTCCATCTCCAGTTTGATTCCCCAAAGCATCACTTTCTTTTCCTGCTGCTGTTGTATTGAATTAAGTTGTTTTCAGTTTTGCTTGGTTGTTTGGGGTTTTTTTAAATGTTAGTAATCWATACACTGATACTCAGGGGTGTTTTATGGTCAAAGAGGCTGTATCACTCCTCAGAGGTCACTCTCACAAGGATGGGATGTTTGCAAATGCCTCTGGATACAAATGCTTAACACTGAACACACAGCTGCTCTGAAGAGTTGGAAATAATTTTTTTTTTTTCAGTCCAGCTTGTTCTGGTGACTAAGAGTGTATCAGTAATATAAAGAATAATGTTTTTTATCAAACTTCTTTGTCAGTACACACGATTTAACTCTCCACTCTGTTTCCACTAGCCTGGTCTAAGCTGTCATTGCTACAAGGAAYATCAAGGAGACCCAGAAGGAGCTTTTGACATGAAAAAAAATTCAAATAAAAAATCAATAAATAACCCTAAAGGGACATAAGCCAAATAAAGGTCAAATTTCCATTTTCCTGAAAAGCAATTGCAAGATTTCATACACCAGTGCTGGTACACAGGTGATCTGACCAAACTAAGTAATGAGAAACAGTGGAATATTTTGAGGCTTTGACTTGGATTTCTTTTTGCAAATCTAACTGAAAAGAAATAAAATTATTGTTGTGCAACAGACCTTAGGTCAGGAATTTGTAATTGATACCAGGTTTCTGATACCCAGTTTTCAAAAAATCCAGAGGAGAGGAGAGGGAAAAGAAAAAGGAAACAAAAGAGGGACAAGAAGAGAAGAAAAAAATAAAAGGGAGAAGAAAAAGAAAAATATAAAAACCCAGTTTAAAAAGTCCAAATAATTTTTTCTTTGTTCTTAGAGTTTCTCTGTGCAGAACTCTCTGTAGTTCTGCRGTTTCTCACAAAAGTCTATGCCAGAACACTGAACACTTGGTATCCAAAAATCTTGTATCTCCTTAGGATGGATAAAATCTCAACCACATTCATGAAAACATTCAGCTCAATTCAAATCTGGGATAGAAGTTTACATCTACTTCATTCCAAATTATTTCATTTTTGCATTYAGGGTGTATTTCCCCTCTTTAGAATAGAATTCAATTCTAAAGCAGTGTTATTAACAGTATAAAATACACATAGTTTTATTATGCCAAACTGGATCTAAGAGAAATTCACAAACAAAAGACTGATTTGGCTGTATGAATTGAAAAAAAGCAGAATGCTGGATATTTCTGTAAATATTAAATTTCATCTAATATAGACAAATAACTTCCCTGTTGCTTTTTCCTCTGTTTTTCARTATTTGAAATAACAATAATAAATGCAAAAAAAGCCCACAACATCCTTCAGAAAATTTCTGTGAAGGACAGTATTTCTTTGTAATAGAGTTAAAACATTCAAGTTTATTACTCAGTAGAAAATATATCAGGAATGACAAAAAGTTATTTGAGAGAGGCAGAAAGGTAGGAAAGAGTGATATCCTCAGAGTTCCTAGAAAAGAATTTAATTAAAGCTCTGTGAAGGACTCTGACGTTTACACACAGTGATGAGCTGTTACCTAAAGCTTAACCTCAGATTTTTAAAAAAGTAATTATTACTGCAGAAAGCCAAGAAAATATGAATGAAATKGAATGTTTTGGTAGCAGGCCATCAGATTTTCACTCCTAGGCTAGGGTTGATACCATGCTGAAGCACAGTCAGTCAGTAGCCTGGTTTCAGACAACTTTATCCAATAAAGCCTACCACTACTCCAATTTTCACAAACAGATGTCAGGAAAAAAAAAAAAAAAAAGTAGAGACTGAAAGGTCACAGTGTTTCATTTACCTGTGTAGCCCATGAACATTTCCTGGGGTTTTAGAAATGGCTGCAGACWGAAATTCATAAGGTGCTGAAAACATCCATAAGATGATAGACACGATGTTCTGCCATGTCTCTCCAATGTGTTGGCCCCAAGTTTTCACCACCAAATTCTGGTCTGTTTTAATGCTTTTGTCCTCTTCARGGAAAGACCTAAAAATTTGTTGATGCAAAAAGTTAGGGATTTGAAGTGAGTTTGGTTTTGGTTTTAAATTGAAACATTTAGAAAACATTTCCAAAAAAAAAAAACAATCCCCACCACACTTTGGTGATGAGCTCAGTGAAAATATYTCAATAATTGCTTAACTATTTCTAACAATTATGTTAAACAGTTTCTTTTTAACTTTCTGGAAGAGCTATTCCAACCATTTTTGTGAGCTCATACACAACTTAGTGTACTCTGTAATTTCCTAGTGTGAACTTCTGGTCAGCAGGGCTTTTATTCTCAAGCATTCTTGTGGACTCCCATAAACTTTTATTAAAACAAGTTCATTTTATGAAGGCAGTTGCACAGAGCATGTCATGATCTCACAGCTCAGGTCAGTAGGTGAGAGGTTGCAAACCACAGCTCCAACAAATTTTCTATATTCAGTGATGAGCAAAGAGAACAATTATCACATCAGTGTCCTTGGCCACACCACTGAGCTGAGCAGCAGCTCCAGCTGATGTCCCTTAATCTGTCACAGGAGCTTGATTAACAGCCACAGCATCCACTTAACTCAGTCAGAAAGGCCTTGCACTTTCCCCCCATGGTTCTTCATGGATTTGATCCTGCTTCTGTGACCCAGTCTGAACTTTGAACACAAAAAAAAGCACAAAAAGGCAGGGTGTTCCCAACATGCAATCATTGTGCCTATCAAGTTCCACCAAGGGAATAAGCTGCTTCTAATTACATGGAGTGRATGTGTACCAATGGCAGACTTCAGCAGAAGTCAGGGAAAGTTTTCAGAAGCTCTCAAAGAACGTGAATGTGTCAGCAAGGCTGCTGACAGGCATTTTTCTCAATTGATTTTTTTTTTTTCTGATGAAAAGATATGTAGCAGGACAGGATTAGAATAATAATAATTCACTATTAAACACCTGCATCAAGACTAATTTCAGTTTTTAGGCTGCCTCAGAATTCCCCCTTTTGATCCTGAATTAGTTTKGTAGTTTACTGAAGTTCATAAAAGCAATTCTTAGTATGTTTTCAGGAACTTTGGGGTCTGAATCTTTACCTTTACACTTCTCAGTSCTGTTTCCTTAGCTGGATACAAGGGACAATAATTTATTGACCCTCAGTGCCTCTGAAAGCCTCAGTGAAACCACACCAAAGTGGACATGACCAAGCCTAACTGTCCACCTGTACTGACTTTATTCTACAAGTGAATGGGCAGTAATTGTTAACAGCTGTAACTACAGTTATTCTGAGACCATCTTCCTGTCCATTCCATGATGGCATTTTTAACTGATTCCTTTCTTTTACATGGATATTGAATTCTTTAAAGGCAGCATGGCTTGTTACAACACAAGACAGGAACACGATATCAGCTCACCCTTCTCTGAGGGACTCACCTGGTGATTCTTGCATGGAAAAGAGGGATGACCCTCTGACAACATCCACAATTTAAAAAGTAATTAAAAATCAATTAAAAAGCTCCTATCAAAATCCAGTGTTACCTTCCTCTGRAATAAATTGAGAGAAATGATGATAGTGTTCCTACCAGAATGATTAAACTATATCAGGATGCTTATTCAAAAGCAACTACTGTTTTTTCTCTGATTTTGATGATTAAAAAATGTCACGAATATTAAAAATACTACAGTTAGATACTGGAGAGTTTTTTTATCATAAAAAGTTWTTCTTTATAAATCTTCTAGTTGTTCCTCCTTGTCCAAATATCTAAAGACAGATCTACCCTACAGTCATCTCCATTTTTCACTCTAAACCCTCTTTCTGCCTGCTTCCATAGTCAGTCAAACATGAACTCACAGATTATGTGCTTAGTCATTCCTTCAGATCAATGACATCCCTTAAAAAAATTCATCCATAATCTTTCTAATAGGACTARCAATAAAAATTGCCAGTGCTGGCTTCAAAGGCTTTGGCAACTYACACTGAGCTGCTTTTCCCCAAAGTCTCACACCACCCTAGGTCCATTAACCTGTCTTGCACTCTTGTAAGCAAACCAATAATATCTTTTGAGGCCTGTGYGTTCCATTTCTCTACCTTATGTGCAGAAATATTCTCCCTCCAATTCAATCAAAAAAATCACCTGCTTGCCAAGTAAGCAACCATAGTTTTCAAGAACTTACTAGAAGATTTCCTAAATCGATTTCTTGGCAATGAGAGATTTACTTTTCCCTCCACATATTCGACCCAGTATTGTTCAAGTAACTATCACCAGAGCAGTAGCACTTGGYAAACCTCAGATGTTGACCTCCATGTAGAAAAAAAAGTCTAAAAGAAAATCTCATTGTTGCTTTTTGCTTCTCTTTTTATCTGAAGAATTTTCCTAGGATGGCAGTGTGCACCCATTTACACCACTGCATTAGAAAGGGCGTCTCGTAATTCTCACTCACAATAATGAAGAGTTAAATTAGAAAAAGCTGCAGAAAAGGGTAATTGCATAATTAGCATCTCTTAACACTATATGCTGAAAGGTAAGGCATTGGTGAGACAGAGAAAACAAATCATATTCTTACTCCTAATGCCAGCTACTCCTGGTAAACAGGGAAGCCAAAAGCACATAAACCCTTTCATCTCCAATCCCTAGCTTTGTTTCTTCTCCTCTAACAATTGCTCCTTGTCCATAGAAATTCAGTTCACTATCCTGAAATGATCACCTTGTCTAAGACCTAGCATGATTTAGTATTCAAGGAGAGCAAGGCAAAAGAATTTTCAATACAGGCTATTGAAACTAAGTTTTGTAGCTTTTTCACTGTGATCACAGTTACTCCAATGCTCTTTTCCTGTCCTCAGT